CCCCAAAACCCCAAAACCCCAAAACCCCATCACTCTTAAATTATAGCAGATAGCAAATGATTGAAATTTGAAATAAGTTGTGTGGTTAAGATATTTGAATTAAGTTCGAGATATTTGAACGAGCATTTTAGTATAGGGTATGTAAGCTGAAAATTGATTTTTCAGCTGTTCTAGTGTAGCAGTCATCATAGTAGCATGTTTGCACATATTACTAAATGAACCTAAACAAGAGGTTAAACTCAAATTTAAAAGGGATTATGGAAAATATTGATTTTGAAAAGTCAGAGTCGGATTGAGGTATCTTTCATAGTATATACTCGAAACCAGTTTATGCATCAGAATATCAAAATCTTATGTGGTTTAATTTACTTTACCTTTTGTTTATCAATGGATTTTACTCACGATTGATTTGTTTAGCTTATATCATTCCATTAATGATAAGGCTAAGTGGATGAAAGGCCAGAGAAGAGTATTCTCTTGTTCTCCCTCCACTTTCAGGATTCTTATTTAATATTAATAATTATAATTCTAATTAAATTAAGTATTAATCACCTTCTAAGACCTTTAAATTTAAGCATGTTATTTTGATTACTCAATCCAGTCTAACCATTTTAGCCTTCGTGATGTCTGGGACTTCCAAACTAGGGAGTTGAGATTTCTTGCTAGATAAGCTAAATCATCCTTGCTTAGAGCAGCGCATCTCTTGGTGACTATCCTGAACCCACTGAAACAAAATTCTAGTCAAGTAAAATTTCATCAACTCTATCTAAATCATCCCCTCCTTTAGAGGTCTCCATTGTCATTATATTGAGGGAGTTTTGCTGCTTATTAGAAGTATTCCCACTACTTGAGAGCATCTACATCTGGGAAATAGTAGAGTTCTGTTAAGGCTTGGGCTTGAATTAGTTTAGAGAGTGTCTCTTGTTAAAAGTTAATTTGCTGTTATAGTAATGTTGACTAGCATTCTTCGTTGTCAAACTTTGCAAGGAATTTGAACCCAATAGTATTTACGAGAGAGTTAACTGCTTTCCAGGTGATTTACTGAGTCTTAGATTTATTTTATCATGATTGATGTTTTCCTTGAAGTCTAAAGCGAATTATTTCATTGCTTTTTAAGAGATAGGCTTATTGTTCTAAGATAGTATTGGACTTGTAATATCAGTCAAAGTAAGTCTTTTATCAAGCGATTTCTCTAGGAATTCCATATGTTCTTGAATGCTTTCTATGGAGAGCCGAGGCTTCTTTCCAATTTCATACAGATTCTTAGGCGAGTTTAAGTTCATAATGCTCTTTAGTGGAGTGCTTGATCTAATCTCTTTATGATCTAGACTTCTTGCTCTAAGTAGGCCAAATCTATCAGGACTCTCCTCGAATTCATTTAGGATCGTGGCATCATCTTCTTCATTTTATAAAATAGTGCTACCCTAAGCAATAAATCTTGTTTACTCTTCCTCATCTTAAATTACCATGACTGGCCTGTTGGATTAGATCTAATATTGGGTCTGAGGCTATTTCACTTAAGTTTTTCTGATGATCTTGGGGTTACACAATATTTCTACATGTATTTCTTATCTCTGAGTCTTATCACCCACAAAAGAGGAGTTTTGAGAAAAGGAGTAGTTCATTTACGGTGGTTCATTCAAGTATCTAGACTATTGACTGGAATTCTTAATTCGATGAAGCTAAATTAGCTGAGTCATATTCTAGGTACTCCTAGCTTGCTCACTATTGTGATAATGAATGTTCGATTCCTAATTAAATGAAAAACAGGCGTCTTTGCATTGGAGACTTCCAGTATCGAATACTTTATTTACATACATCACGTTTGATTCATGGCAAATATTGCCAAGTATATTTTGACTATTAGGATTATTTTCATCAAATAAGACTCTTGCCTGAATGTTATCATCCTCTTTAAGGAAGGATTCAAAATCATTTTCAACGTGTGAGATGCCCTAGAACAACTGAATTTTCTCAAGTATCTCAGAGTTCTAATTGCTCTGTTCCAGATTGGTGCGGCACTCTTTCAATACTTGCTTCAAGTCTTTAAGTTCTCTGAGCAGCATAACATTGGTATTTTTCATTTTATCTATTAATTAGCGCTACTCAAATATGATGGTTCTAAAATGAGAAAGATATTTACGTTCAGTCTTAAGTTGCTCCTATGTGAATTCATAGTTCAAAGATTAATGTAAAATGCATTGCTTAAGAAAATTGAACAACTCAGATTCAAGCATATCTCCCTAGAAGTACTCGAACTAGGATAAAAACTTGGTCTTCTTATCATAGCTTTTGCCCATTTAAATAAGACATGTGAGTAACAACTTTTTCGCTCTTTCATTTAGAGGTATATTATTAGAGTTACTTTATTGAGACAGATATTTATACTATAGCTGTTATCCCTCCTCTTTGCTTTAAATGTCCTAATATAGCTCATTTTAATTGCAATAAATGTAGTTATTGTTCGCAGTTGACTAATACAGTTTATTTTGCTTCTTAAGTTGGGGATTGAATCCAAAATTTTGACTATACAGTGATTGGTTTCTGGGAGTATTGGTTTAATTGTAGGTTGACGAAGTCACGTTATTGAGATTAGAATGAGAATTTTGTTTAAGAATAGACTTTGTCTCATTTTGACCTAAACTTGGCTGCATAGAAGGTCTAGTTTGTTACTGGACATTTTTCTAAGACCCTATTACAGAGGATTTAGTTGATTACTAAGTATGTATTTGATATTGCGATAGTTATTTGTAGCTCTGTGAGTGATTGAGCACCTGATTAGTAAACCTATTAGCGATATTTCTTGATTATTTTTTCTTTTCTAACATTTAATTTAAATTCTAATTCCAAATTATGTTTTTTTAGGGTTAATTTATTCTCAGGGGTTTTGGGGTTTTGGGGTTTTGGGGAGATCGGAAGAGCACACGTCTGA